GTTTCTTCGGTATCTTCTTTAGGTCTAAATGGATCCTTATCCGCTTCAAGGGATTGGACAACCATTGGTGTGCTAAGTGGATGAGATTTATCCATGTAGAATTTTTCTAAAACTTTCTTTAAGTAGGTTGACTGGTGTACAAATATTCCTTCAGGGAGATGCTCGATCTGCAGGCCGAGACAATATTTAGTTTTACCCAAATCTTTCATTTCAAACTCCGTCTTTAGGCATGAGCTAGCTTTATCAAGCTCCTCTCGTGTGCCAATTATATTTATGTCATCGACATTAACTGAAATGATGCAAAAACCATTCGTTGACCTCTTTATAAACACACAGGGGCACACATCGTTGTTCACATAATTATTTTTCAACAAAAACTCACTCAGCCGGTTGTACCACATTCTACCCGACTGTTTTAAGCCATATAATGACTTTTGTAATTTAATGCTATACATGTTGCTTGCTTCATTTTCCCTTATTTCGGAATCTTTAATCCTTCAGGGATTTTCATATATATATTTGTGTCTAATGACCCATATAAATATGCGGTCACGACATCCATTAATTGCATATCTAAATTCATAGTTACTGCCAGAGATATCAAATAGCGGAACGTTATTCCATCCATTACAGGAGAATATGTTTGATCAAAATCAATTCCGGGTCTCTACGAAAACCCTTGAGCAACTAATCTCGCTTTGTATCTCACCACATCATTATTTTCATTTCTCTTTCGCACGAACACCCATTTATATCCTACTGGGATAACATTTTGAGGTGTACGCGCAATAGAGCCAAAAACTTTTCGTTTATTTAGCGAGTCTAGTTCAGCCTCAATTGCCTCTTTCCATCTTACCCAATCGGAGCGCTTCCGGCACTCTGCAATTGATTTAGGTTCGGGATCCAGATTATTAGAGATGGTAAAAGCAACTATAGAGGCAAATGTGTCGTCGACGACTATGTTACTTCTATTATAAGTTTCTCCTATATCAACAAAATTTGTAGCTACTTCAATGTTTACATCAACCAGATCTTCATCATTTCCCAATATATTTTGATTTGGATGTTCCGCAATCCTAGTATTTTTATTATTTGTTGCACGTGCATTTAAACTAGGATTTTCGCCTTCTGGACGATTATCTTCTGGAGATTTCAGGAGTGATTCAATATTCTTATTAGATTCCGTTTTTCGTGGATTATTGTCTTTTGTACCAACGGGTCTACCACGCTTCTGGCGTGGAGTATCTGCAGGATTATTAGATTTTATGGGGACTTCCACACGTTGTGGAGCATTTATTGAAGGTACATTAGATTTGGTCACTCCTTTATGATCAGTAAATGCATCTGGCAGATTATTTGCTAAATATTGCAAATTAATTATATTTTGAACTTCAAGTTCAGTTTGATTAGTGCGTCGATCTAAATATTGTAGATTTTCTACATTCCAAGAAATTTCTCGGCATTTATTTAAGTTTGGGCTTTTATCTCCCCCTAATGCCGGAAAATTCTCTTCATCGAATATGCAGTCAGCGTACCTAGCTGTAAATTGATCCCCAGTCATAGGCTCTAGGTATTTGGGAATAGACGGAGATTCATAGCCAATATATATACCTAGCTTTCTATGAGGGCCCATAGAGGTACGCTGTGGTGGTGAGATGGGAACATAGACTGCACAACCAAATACTCGCAGATGGGAAATGTTAGGTTCTTTACCACGCACTAGTTGTAAAGGGGAGTAATCATGATATGCAGTAGGTCGGATTTGAATTAGGGCAGCAGCATGTAAAATTGCATGTCCCCAACATGAAATTGGTAAGTTGGAATTTTGTAACAATGGTCTAGCAATTAATTTGATGCGCTTAATGAGTGATTCGGCTAGACCATTTTGCGTGTGGACATAAGGTACCGGATGCTCCACTTTGATGCCCAGTGACATACAGTAATCATCAAAAGCTTTCGATGTAAATTCACCGGCATTATCCATTCTAATAGTTTTAATTTGATAATCAGGAAATTGAGCTCTTAATTCAATAATTTTAGCAAGGAACTTTGGAAAAGCCTGATTTCTAGTAGACAATAAACACACATATGTCCATCGAGTGGAAGCATCTATCAATACCATAAAATATCGAAAAGGTCCCGAAGTGAAATGAATAGGGCCACATATATCACCTTGAATCCTATGAAGGAACGTAGGAGATTCAATTCCAACTTTAGTACGTGAAGGTCTCAATATTAATTTTCCCTTTGCACAAGCATCACAAATAAATTCATTAAAAGAAGGGAGATTGCTGCTTGATACGCTATGCCCAATAGAGTTAGAAATAATCCGACGCATCATACTAAGCCCAGGATGACCCAATCTCTCATGCCATAATTTAAATGAATTTGGATCTTTAAATTTTAAGCTCAATGCAACATGATTAATAGAAGGTCGAATGTAAGTATGGTACAAGCCTGAGGAGAAAGAGGGAAGTTCTTCTACAATTTTATTTTGACTTCCTTGTGAATGAGTTATTAGAAGATACTCTATATTGTTTTCAGTCTTAGTTTCAATATGAAAACCATTAGATCGAATATCTTTAAAACTAAGGAGTGTTCTTTGTGAATCAGGTTACAAAAGCGCATTGTTAATTATTAATTCGGTACCCATAGGAAGAGTAAGTAAAGCTCTGCCGGAGCCTACTATCAATATTTTATCATGAGCAATTGTAGAAACACTCCCCTTCTTTTCATTCAAAGTTTGGAAAAATTTCCTATCTTTCAAAATAGTGTGCGTAGTAGCACTATCGACCAGACATAAAATACCCTCTTTCTCCATAAGATGCAAACTAATGAATGATTGTGGTACACTAAAAGAAAAGTAAAACATTGTAAGCAAATGAAGCAGTCATGAAATTCCAATCAAATCATAACATAAGAAAACATACCAATAGCAAAAACAAACCACAAATGTCTGACGAAGCAAAAGAAATCAAAACTGTCTAATAGCAAGAAACAAACCACGAAATAAAAAAAAATATCCAGTTCTAAGATAGAATGCATATTAATCACACATCATCACCATAGTCCTCGAGCTCGAGCTTCAATAAATCCTCATCATCATCGTTGATGGCTAAATTTGCTTCAGGCAAACTAGCATGATGTGATTCACCTTGAGGAGCCTTTCTTTTCTTATCTTTGAGCATTCTTTGATAAACCTCAACTAGATGTCGAGGAGTACGACATGTGCGGGACCAATGGCCACTGCATCCACATCTATAACACACTTGCTTATCTTGATTAGCTTGTGGAGCATCGATGTTGAGATTTTCTGTACGACCTGTCGGTTCCTCAACACCATGACCTCGTCCTCCACCTCGAGTCCAGACATGACTACGACCGCGACCGCGACCGCGACCACGACCACGACCGCGAACATGACCACGACCACCACGGGGTGGCTGGGTATGATATCCTCGACCTCTCCCTCGCACATTATGATGACTGTTAGTAGTCGCATGTGCTTCAGGCACAGCTTGAGTTCCAACAGGCCTAGCATTATGATTTTTCATCAACAATTGGTTGTGTTTTTTGGCCACAAGCAAGGCCGAGATCAACTCAGAGTGAGTTGCATAGTTTTTAGCCCTATACTGCTGCTGGAGTACAAGGTTACTAGCATGAAAAGTTGATAAAGTTTTTTCAAGTAACTCGGCCTCGGTAATGTTCTGCTTACAGAGTTTCAGTTGTGAAACAATACGATGTAGGGCCGAATTATATTCAGTGACGGATTTAAAGTCCTGAAACCGAATATTAAGTCAGTCATACTGAGCTTGAGGGAGAATTATGGCCGTTTGTTGGTCAAAGTGATCCTTCAGGGATTTCCAAAGATTGGCGGGATCCTTGACGGAGAAAAATCAATGCTTTCGCCTTCTGGGCGAGAGTGCTCTGAGATTTAGAATCAATTGTGGCACTTAAGTCAAATGAGGCCAGGTGAATGTCAACATCAAGGGCCCAAGTCAAATAATTATTCCCATCAAGGGCGAGCTCAGCAAATTCTCTTTTGGTGATATCAGACATCTATAATTTATTCAATACAAACATAATATGATTATCAACATGATCAGTATATAAATATCCATGTTTTGTTAATCAAGCCTTTCCACTTAATATCATAATCAGAAAGCCAAGCAAAATTGCAAAAAAAAAAAAAAAAAAAATGAATGCAATTTACATGCTGTAAATAATTCCAATCAATGCAATTTGCAATGAGAATTCTGCAACAAGTATCTCAGACGTAATACGGCAATTTCGTTTTAAATTGCGTAACTAATTGTGTAAATAATTATGTCCAGCAAATCAATGAAGCTTGACCCATTACTAAATACTCATACAATAAATCCAAGGCGTACGGCGATATACTTGCAGGAAAAAAATTAATTCACCATCATAAAATTTAATTGGCAAGGCAATCATGCATAAACACATGCCGGTTTGGAAGATTTGAGATAATTGAAGTAATTCATTGAACATGAAATTCTTATGAATTGAGGAAACAGATCTGGAAAATACCTTACAGGAAAAACACGATTTTTTCCTAGGGCAAACACGAATAACGAACTAGAGCGTGCTGATAACGTGTTGTAAATTGGAGTCCTCAATATTCACCAAGCATCCATCAATCAAACAAGCATAAAAGATGTGCAGTAAAGAACAAGAAAAGAGAAGTAGAAAAGTCTATCTTTTATTCATCGGTATTCACTCTTTTATAGAGTTTACAATGGAGAAACCCTCAAACCTAATCCTACTAACTAATGGACTTCAGGCCCAATTATATATTAGTAATGTCCATATTAATATATTTATAACAGTAAGATACTATTAGGTTATGTATTACCAATCTTACTATTAGGTTATGTATTACCAATTTTTTCTTATATCTGCACATGTGAACTACTGCACGTGGCCAATTAAATGACAAACCATCTTTGAACTTTGATTAGATAGTGAGTTGATGATTGCTATCCAAATTTCTGTAACACATAATAAATTAATTCTCGTGATTTGGTGTTGATGCGATGATTGTTATTCAAATTTTGGTGATTTATATATATTTAAACTAAATAATTAAATAAATTTTAAATTAATATACCAATTTTTTTTAGATGAATCATTGTAGCTTGTGAAAATTTTATATTTTATATTCGCACAACACTAGATGCCGGTAGACATGGCTACGGCTGGCCCAGCCCGTGAACCGGTCCCCCCTAGCTGATTTTTGAACCGGTCCGGAACCTTTTAAGGGCCGATTATGGATCATGTTGTACTCTTTTTTGTCCTGCCGGTCGGGCCGGTTTCAAGCCCTGCCCGAATTTTTCGACGAGTCATATTTATAATTTTATTTTTTTGTTTAAATCAGCGATTTTTTTGTTTAAATCAGCGGTTCAATGAACCGGGCCTTAGATATAGACGGGCTGGGTACGGGCCCAGCATTTGAGACCCACCAACGCGGCGGGTCGGACCGTGTTGTGAACTGACCCGAGCTTTGGCCACCTCTAGATGCCGGTCTTTTGACTCGTTATTGTTATAAATATATTAATATGGACATTACTAATATATAATTGGGCCTGAAGTC